GAGGATTTTACGAAGGATTTTGGATTGCAAGGACTGTATGCGAGAGGAATTTGAAGGCTTGGTGGAGCCCCATAGCTCAACCCCGTAAGTCCAAATAGGCCTTATTATAGTCATGTAAATCAGTCTTTTATAATTGATTGGAAGGTTAGAGCGTTTGTCTAGTAAGTGTTGAAGTAGTCGGAAACGTCGAGCGGTTTCTTGTCGTTTCAGTCTGGTATGAGGATTCCAAGTTAGACGTTTGTCCAGATGGAGTCCTAGGTAACGGATTTGTTCAACAGGAATAAGTGAGGTGTTGTTAAAGGATACTGAAGGACAGGAAGTCATTGGTTTACGACGAAGGGTGAAGGTAATTTGATGGGATTTAATGGAATTTATTTTAATTCTCCAGTTCTGACACCATTCTTCAAGGTTTGTGATGTGGGATTGAAGGGTTTGGGATGCAATAGATGGGTCGTTATTGACTGATAGGATACATGTGTCATCAGCATATGTGGTGATGACAGTAAATAATTAGTTAAGGGGAAAAACGTGGCGGTTTAGCGTGATCTCGGTCAAATCACCTCCTTACACAACCAAGAAACAGTGCTTCCCCTAATGAACCCATAGACCGTCCATGGGTTGTAGTGGTACAGGTTTTTTATTTATATGTTTACTACATCCCGGGTGAAGCTGGGAATCTCGAGCAGCGATTCCCGCAGCGAATATCCATGTGCTTATCACGCTCGGTGTTGCTTAACTTTGATTACTTACTGTAAGCGCCTTAGTCCACACGGCTACCCCAGCCACACATATATATGTATATATATATTGTATGGTCCAAAATGAAAAGTTTGTTTATTTAGTTTATTATGTTTTGTAGCTCTAGGCGTTTAATTATACAAATTATAAATACAAAGAGAAATTTATTTGTTACCTTTAATTTTATAATGTTTGGTTGTGATCCATATGGTCTTTATAATATTACAATATTTTGTTTTCTTTATTAATTGATCCACACACAACCATAACTAAATAGGAAATATCTGTAAAATACGGTTTCAAAGACATGACCACGGCCAGAACTAAGATTGTTTTCAAAAGGAGCAAGTTTAATTTTACAACCTCTACTTTTAGTGAATATAAATTAAAATAAATATCAACAAATCATTCCATGAGCTAATTTTATTTAATGAATGAAGATCAAAACAAACAAAAATAGAACAAATATTTTTTTTATTTTACCTAAAAATACACTTTCCTTCGAATTTGGCGCCCTAAGTATCGACCCTGAAGATGACACATGGGTATTTCCAAGTTGGATTCATCCCAGCTTCATTTATTGAACAATGTGTAACCTATTTTTTTCAATACATATTAAAAAACACTCCGTCCGATTTTATCCGAGCGTTACACACCGGGTATCTGACGGCTCAATCTAATTCATTTTCCACAAAAAATAGTACTAAACGCGCCTAGAGATGTTTCAACATAAAAAAAAAAATGTGGATGTATAAGAAATAGAATGCACAAAAGAACAACTGTATATTCCGAAATAATAAGACGAAAATAGATTTGAAAAAAGGGAGCGTGAAAATAAGTTGTTATGGCATTGTGCCAAGGAATTATTTATTGCTAAGTCGTCACATGGAGGTCGAACACTGCAGACAAAACCATTTGGTTACTACGTTAATTAATAATATATTGAATTGTGTTTGTAGTGGTTTTTTGTTAAATTGAGATGTGTTTTCTTTCCCCTAGAATTGTATTTCCTTATTTCTAATTTCTAATTAATAATGTATGATTGTTAATATTTACTTATTATTTATAGTATTTACGATCTTGATTAAGAATCTATCAATGATATATTAGCACTAGTTTCCTCGTTTATTTTTTTATAATAGTCTTAAAAGACAAGAACTTGACAGTCGATATGGCCAATTATACAGATTACTGAGTGGAAAATCACAACTTTCAATCGACAACAAATTACTTATCTACAAGAAAATCCTGAAACCTATTTGGACTTACGGACTTGAACTTAGGGGGACAGCAAAATTTTCTAACATCAAACGCATCCAATCCTTTCAATCCAAAGTCCTCCGAACAATAGTCGATGCTCCTATCTATGTAACCAACACAACCCTACATCATGACCTTAATATTCTATTTGTACTAAAACTTGTCCCTGATTTTTTTTCCAAATTCTATCAGAACCTTACGAATCATCCAAATCCCCTTGCACAATTCCTATCTAATCTCACTCATTTCTACAAACCTCCTGGAAGGTTGAAGCGGCAGTGGCCTTTGTCTTTTGTAGTATATACCTTGGAGTTCTGGCAATGGCCAGATTCTCCACTCAAGACATGAGTGTATGTAGCTAAAGCGCTCTCGCTCTATCTGCACTGGCTTTAGCACCAGTAACGCGGTTGAGAGAGTAGCGCAGGGATCTCTTGGAGTCCTGCTTTTCCCTCTATAGTTAGAGGGACAAGCCTGGCTTGGGGTATTCCCTGCCTGATTGCATATATTGTATATAGGTTTGACTGTGTTTTTATATTTTTAATTTACTTATATTTAGGTTATTTTATTTTTTATTGTACATAGTTTTTTATTATTATTTTACTTTTGTTAAATTTATGTTTTCTGTATATATATGGTGTGAATATGTTCATATAATTATTATCTGTGTGACAGATTATTACATTTATTTCGATTACAAAAATTTTCGATATAGTCTAACTCTGGACCATGAAAATATCACTTACAAGAAAAGGATACAGTCTGTATGTCATCGATTTCAACCAATTTTTTTTTTGGTGACACTACATCGCATTTATTTTTAAAAGTGAAAAGACTGAGTTGCTGGATTATTTGGTTAAAAATGCTTCATTAGAAAGCATGAAAGAAGATTCAGATAATTCAGAAGGCAAAGAACTTGACGATTGTATAGATGACATCCTTGCTGTCTTTACATTCCGTAGATATTGTGTATTTACACAAACAAAGAACAAAGAATCAAACACGTCAAAATCTTAAATCAACCTACTCTGTGCATAAAATCGAGTACCTTAAGCTGAGTTGAAATAGATAGTGCTAGCGGCCATATTTAACACACAGCTCGTAAATAATCTTCTGTGACTTTACACATTTAAGAGGTTTACAATACTTAACACTAGTTGCATGAATGCTGCTATTAATAAAAGGTTGGGTTATGATAGTAAAAATTCGATCACACAGTCTTGTTTCTCTAAAATACAGACTTATAACTACGTTTTGCCAATTTAAACAGGATAAGGACAGAAATAATGCACTAGATCAAGAAATCACGTCATTCCCTGTCATCAAAACACAAACGATTTGAAGTTCATGTTTAAAACAGCATGTGTTTAGAGTATGTACTCAAAACAGCATGTGTTTAGAGTATGTACTTAAAACAGCATGTGTTAGAGTGTATACCGAAAACAGTTGTGTTTGGAGTACTTATTCAAAACACCATACGTTTAGAATATATATTTAAAACAAAGTGTGTATAGAGTATGTACTCAAAACAGTATATGCTTGGAGTATGTACGCAAAACAGCACACTCCAAAGAGTTTCAAGTGATATCAAGGAGTGATGTGATCTTCTTGTCTCTCGTGATGATGCGTGAATTGGTTAGACGTAAACGTATTAATTTGTTCATCATATCATGTTTTTTCATCTCAATTTTAGAAACAGGAGGTTATATGGTTGAACGGAGGTTCCCGTCCTTCCCCCATGGCGTATGAACCTCCCCCCTTTTCTAAGATATTTTATTGCTCTCATCTTCTTAAAAACAGTACAAGGTAAAGTAGACTTTTAAAAATAACAGGTCATGTACAATAAAAATTTCAATGGTCTGTTCTTTGCTTTCCTCTTGTTCCCTAGTTTGAAACTTTTCAATTCAAAACCCCGTCGAAATGTGATCTACTCAAAAATTTTGATAGCGCAACTTGCAACATAAAACACCCTTCTGGACACCCCTGTGGTTCAATTTTTCAAATTATAACCTAAAAACTAATTTTTTGTCTCTTGGTGATTTTTTGCTCGTTTTTAAGATATACTTATATTTCAGAGATTATGCAATTTCCCCTAAAAAAATGTTTAGGTTAAGAAATTTTAAAAACCTTCCTCCTCTAATCAACCTCGAACCTTCGCGTTCGCGAAGCCTTGCTATTATTATATATATATTATATATAAGATAAATTTCAATTAATATCTTGCAGTAAAAAGGAATTAAATATTTCACTAATGAAGATAATGTAAGTTGACTTCAGAGATTCAGCTGAATTGAAGTTCTTGAAATTACGTTATTAAGTCACACTCATAAGTTCATTTGAAATTATTTTAAGAGTCGTTACTTGTTAAAATTATGAGCTTTTTAGTACAATAATAAAAACCTTTTTTTTTCTTTAAAAGCTAACATTAAAAGTATCAATTAAAATAAAAAAAGACCATTTTTGTGAAAAAAAATATATTTTGAACTCTATAAATTAAAAAAAAAAATGCAATTATACTTTCGAAAGACTATAAAAAAAAATGTTAAAAACTGGTGATAATGTAAAAACAGATTTGTAATCTTATATTAATTTATAGATGCCGATCTGTGACTTAAATAACTAAAAAGAAAAGATTTAGATAAGTTTGTAAGGATTGAAAACATTTAGTTGATATTATAATTTATATATTGACATAACGAAGACCACAGAGAATTTTTAAGAAATTTAATAAGTTAATATAGTTTTATGAATGAAGGGGGAGTTCTTAATATTTTACAGAGCAAACTTCATTGAAAGAGTAGAAATAAAAGAAAAAAGAAGCAGGCATTATTTGGAACCAAAATGACGGAGGGTCCGAACGGCCTTGTTCAGGTGAACGAACGATCAAGAAGGCAGCGGCGGGTGACCTCGCGAAAGATCGCGTCCCCACCTCTTTGGACCCTCCCCTACCACGCCGGCTTTCGACCAATCAGAAGCCGCCGAATTCGATTGACGTCATAAGGTCTCCAACACGAGCCTATTTCGCTGAAGGCTCAGTCTGAGCTCAGTATCAGCCAAGTTGTGACGACCAGCTCCTGCTCTCTGTGCTGTGCAACAGTTCTCTTCCTCTCTGTGTCTCTACCTGATTTATCATTTTGTTTTATTCTGAATTTTGTTTGACTTCTATTTTGTTCAAAATGTAAGTACATTAAGCTATTTTTTTAATTATATAAGATATTATATTATATTAATAAGAAATTATATCAACTATATGAGCGAATGTTCTAAGATCGTATTCAAACTTTATCAAAATTCTAACCAGAGTTAAAAATATAACATTCAATTTTTTGAAAAATTAAATCAACTAAACATTGCAAATTCATTCATTTAAATTTACAAAAATTTAAAAAACATCAAACTTCTTCTATATTATGAATTAAATAAGTTCAATAATACTAAAAAATCAAGTCAAACATTGATCGGCTTAGTAAAATATATTAAGTTGATCTTATAAGTAACCAGATTAGAATTTGAAACAAGAAAAAAAATCCTCAAGTCATATTTAAGTTAATTTTCGTATAGAAACAACTTTTTTTCATTTTACTAATTTTCAAAGTTAATTTATTTCAATTTGATTCCTAATTTTAATGATACGTAAAAGTAACAAAAACAAAATATTATAACTCTTTTTTATATATAAAATAGTTCAAAACATTATCAGTAAAACTATTTTTTTTTTTTTAAATTGAAATATTCGAAGCTCAAGAAAGTATTGCGCAATATGGTGCAATATCAGGAATTTCAGGTTCTTTTTTCTTTTATTTCTACTCTTTCAATGGAGTTTGCTCTGTAAAATATTAAGAACTCGCCCTTCATTCATAAAACTATATTAACTTATTAAATGTCTTAAAAATTCTCTATGGACTTCGTAATGTCAATATATAAATTATAATATCAACTAAATGTTTTCAATCCTTACAAACTTATCTAAATCTTTTCTTTTTTGTTATTTAAGTCACGGATCGGCATCTATAAATTAATATAAGATAACAAATTTGCTCTTACTTTGTCAGCAGTTTTTAACATTTTTTAATAGTATTTCTACAGTATAATTGCATTTTTTTTTTAATTTATGGAGTTCAAAATTATTTGTAATTATTTTTCATACTAATGTTCTTTTTTATTTTAATTGATACTTTTAATGTTGGCTTTTGAAAAAAAAAAAAGTTTTTATTATTGTACTAAAAGGCTCATAATTTTAACAAGTAACGACTTCCTCAAAATAATTTTAAATGAACTTATTGGTGTGACTTAATTTCAAGAACTTCAAATCAGATGATTCTCTGAAATCAACTTACATTATATTCATTAGTAAAATATTTAATTCCTTTTTACTGCAAGATATTAATTGCAATTTTTCTTATATATATATATATATATATATATATATATAATATTTTACATTGTTCAAAGTTTAAATCAAAGTGTGTTAAATCTTGCAAATATTATATGTTGAGTGAGAATGATAATGTAAATATTAATTTGTTTTTCCTCTTATGAAGTATGAATACATTTTTTATCTTGGACATATTGTCTATGTTTTATATTGAATATTAACAGTAAGTTTAAGTTCCAATTCAACAAAATATATTTTTAATATATTTAGTGTTTATTAATTTATGTGAATTTATATGGTTGTTTTTGTTATAATTATCAACTTAAAAATTTTGTCTTGTTCAGTAATGTGTGAGTGAAAAGTTTTTTTTATTGTTTTTTTTTTGTATGTGTAATGAGTGAATATTAATAAGTTAAATTTTAGGAAAAAGTGATTCATTAATAAATAATTCCCTAGTGAAAATCCTTTTTCATTTGTTTAATTTTTAATATTACTATGTTTCTACTGTACTTGTTCAATAACAAAAATAGATTTTTTTGATGTTATCTGATGGTAATTTTTGTTAATAATTAGGAATATAAAATTTTGTCTTGTTTAGTGATGTTTGTTTGTGATCTTTTTTTTTTTTCAATTTTTCTTTTCTTTTTTTTATGTGTGTTAGTGTACAGAGTGAATTTTATTAAGTTAAATTTTAGCAAAAAGTGAGTCATTAATAAATAATGCCCAAGTGAAAATCCTGTTTTATTTGTTTAATTTTTAATATTATTTTCCAATCTGAAAAATGCATTTTTTAAATGTTATTTAGTCAGCATTGAGTGCTAATTTTATGTTAAAATATCTTTTTTTCTTTAATAATTAAATTAATGTTTGGGAATGACTTTTTAAGTTCATTATATTTCAATGAAAAATAAAATTGAGTGAAGATAAAAAAATTCTGGTTTCTAAGTTTTATAATAGTTGCATTGTTTTTTATTAAAATTATAAAAATATATAAATGATAACCTTTTTTAGATTTGTTTAATAATTTCCAATAATCTGAACTAAATTATTATTCTTATCAATTTCTATTTTTGTTATATAACATATATTTATAAAGTTTTTAAAAATTTTCATTTATAAAAAAAAACACAATATTAATGGTAGTTGGTATAAGAAATAACCCAATATTCAAGTATTTGTTTCTACTTAATACATTCTAATTAAACTCTATGAAAAACAAATTAGTAATTATTTAAAACTTTCTTAATATTTAAAACTGTTATTTTATCTGTCGAATCCACTGGATAATTTAACTTACATAATTAATTAATTTCTTGATTAATTCAATTAATTATTTTAAACTTCTTAAGTAATAATATAAATCTACTGTTGACAATATAATATTTATCGAATACACTTCTTATACAATTTGACTCTAATATTCGATTAATATCGATAATAACATCGATAGCAGGGGACTTGTTGAAGAGGAGCCGCAATGCGGTGGTGGGAGAAGGCCACAGTGACAAGCAAATTTTGTGTGACGTCACAGGCTACACTTTGCTTTCTTATTTTATTACCTCTTTGGAGAACTACCTCTTTTCATAACATTATTTGTTTTCTCTTTTCCAGTTTTTTATATATTAATAAATTTACCATTTTTACGATGATTTCACTGAATGATTCTTTTATGAATGATATATTAAAAATTGTTTTCATTTTTATTATCAAAATTAGTGAAGAAGAAGCAATATTTCTGAATAATTTTGAAGAAAGGTTTAAATGTAATAAAATAAATTTATTTTAAAAAAATGTTTATTGATATTTAACTCATTATCATATCCTTATCAAATATTTATTACTTTTATAATATTACAGGATTTTATATATGTAAACACTAACACCATTAATAACATCCTTGTCCACATTTTAACAAGGATTTGTGTTTTTTGTCTCTTTATTTACCCTTTTTTTTTTTTTTTTGTTATAATTTTGAAGTCTTAGTTACAAGCATAAGATTTTTTTTTTATTCATAGCGTATATATTTCTAGTTTTTCCTAATAATAACACTCTTTTATTGCGTAATTATTAAAAAGGAAATATAAAATAAATTGTGATACATGAATTTATAATATTACTTGTAAATTATCTTAAGGAAAAGTCAAGGTTGAAGATTGTATTCTTTCGATGGCGCCGGTATTCTGAGAATTGTTCTATAAATAGGTTATTTGATAGCAACCGCCTGCTCAACTGATAGCTATTTCCTGTTTTATTTTAAATTATTTTCACTGTCAATGTGTCACTTTCATTTTTCGCCATTAACAATTACATGAAAATGCCTTAAAACATCACAATCCCTAAAATTCCAAAGAGGTTTCGTGCCACGACTTGACAAGAAGTTAAACATGATCGGATCGGTACATACAATAAGTTAATTTTTTTTTACAATTTTCCCGTTTTAAATGTGAAAGATACAAAAATCTTGTAATATTATAAAATATACAGTCTTCTTTAGCATTTTTGATTTGACGATATTAAGTACAACATTCGAATATGTAGAATCTAAAGGTAAACCTTGTATGTAGAATATAAAGGAAAAAAAAGTCCTTAAATTAAAAATAAACTATATCGAAAAAGCTTTTATTTGATATATAAGCGCATTTTAGGAATTTTTTTATTTAGAGATTTAACCTCGAAATTTATTAAATTTTACAAACTACCTAGATCTGGCTATTGAACCAATTTTATTTAAAATTCCTATTTTTTTTAAATCATGGGAAGATCATTCAGGCATTGTATACATCAAAGTAAATACAAGTACTATTTAGTTTTCAAATAAGAACAGGCGATGTATATTCAAAACAGACCTATGTTTAGCCAGTTCAAGATGGCCGTAACCGAAAATAAGTTGGCAACTTGTCTTGTATACCTTGGCTAAGGATTCGACAGGTTCTTTGAAATACTTTTTACAGTTCGGGAACTGGCAGAATATCCCATCCTAAATCTAGTTGGTTTGAGTAAATATATAAAGTAAATAGAAACGGAAAACAAATCTTTTCATATGTTTCAAGTGTTTAATTCTCAAGTGGTTAGGTAATATTCAACAGCTGTTCTGTTATCAGCACAAATTAAAAATAAAATTTACTCGAATAAAAAAGTTTAGATATATAATAATGAAAACGGTGATGAAATAATTAATTCAGGTTTAATTACAATGCTGTTCATTAAAGATATAAGAAATTTGATTTATACATATTTTATGTTATAAAACTTATATGGTTATCGTTAATTTTACATTAAACTATAAATCTGTGGTTTGTATTTTACTTATATAAAACATTAGATTTTTATGTCTATAAAAATAATGCCAAAAACCTATAACTATAACATTCTCTCATTGAAAAAATGTTTAGACTTTTAGATTTTTAGACCACTCCCTCATATAATTTTTGCTCTACTCCTGATAACGTACAAATTAACTGGATTCTAAAGACATTTAATTTTCCATTGCCTCCATTGCTTTTCTGACAAATCGGCGATGATTCAGCTACCTTGCCCGATAAGCAAGACCTTAGAACTGATTTCGATAAGTGGGTGGGAATACAGATTACCAGTTATGATTTCTTTGAAATGCCAATATAAAAAAGTTATCAATGTTGTTCAATGTAAATGGCAGTTTAAAACATTGAGCAAATATCCACTTTTAAACTGATTCAAAGATATAATTCACTCTTTGCTGAGTGAGAAGATATCTACTCTCGAAGAGAAGCCTCTCGTTCATAACTCTTTACTGACTTTTGTATCCAAATGGTTAAATGGAGGGATGATTAGGGCGCCACTTTGGAGTAGGAATGGAGATAGTTTAAGAGAATTATTTCAGAAAATTAAACTCTCTTTTGGCTGTGCAAAAGGGCGAAATTGGGAATAAGGCTATAGTTACGAATCACGGGCTGCCGAACGAGTTCAAGCTTTGTTACCGGAGAGAAATAATACCCCGCCCTCTGCCATGGACCATGAAAAAAATGTATAGCCGATAAGGCTAAAAAAAGGAGAAAAGAAATAAAAAGGTTTAGCCCAAGGCGTGCAAGGATCAAACCTTACAATTTAGAGCTATGAATCGGTCCTGATTAGAAAGTAGTTTCGCAGAAACGTTCCAGGAAAGGTATTCGAGAGGTCTTTCTAACCTAGTGTACTAGGAAGAGTATAAATGGCTGATATTTATTCATTAAAATATTTCTAAGAAAGAAACATTCATATAATCCCATAAGAATCTCATTAAAAAAGGATTTACACATTGAAAAAAAAGCCGCAAACAAAAGAAACAAGGTTTATATATGCTTCTATATTTCCAGAGAAGCAAATATGGCGGACGTTAGGAATCACAATTGCTCTAACATATAATAATCACAAAAGAACGCCTAAAATTCTTCAATAATATAGTGGATCGTATCAAGATTGTAATACTAATGTATTCATCATTTTTCAAACAGCACAAATAGTAAACCGATGTGTAAAAGCGACACTAGCGCTTATCCAAACCTTGATTTCTCTTAAGAGACCGATAGCAGGTGAATCTGCAAGGACACAAACAGTAGCCTAGAGAAACAAAAATGTGTGAAATGTGTAAAATCTGCATTATTAATAAAAACTAATTGTCATGATGGTCACGAGAAGGCTCGCATACATGTAAAGTTTTAATCATGCCATTATGAGGAACAGACTATTTTAGTCAATAGTTAGTTGATAATGATCCCGCTCCAAACCGCTAACCTGTTCGAACCAGTATAAGCCCTTAAACATTCCAGATAACAATAATAGATTTAAATACTTATCTGAAAGTGAACGAATTCATTTTGTTAAAAAATTCCTGACGTATTGCGTTGCCCGTTGGCGATCGACCTTCCGAAGGACTCCAGCCATATGGAAGAAGGGCCTCCATTGACAGAACCGAAGCTAGTTGGGTAAGGTCTGGAACACAGAGGTGTGGCAACGCCGCATGACGTCACGGCTGCCCTACGGCGTAGAATGCCCCCTCCCCGCCCCAGTTCGCAGCCAACAGCCCAACTAGTCACGTCTCGTTCCGGTCTCTTCCAGTGAGTCATTGTTTTCTCCAGAACAGTCTCTGCTCTCGAAGATCACTTCTTGCACCAAGCATTAATCTTCTAGTTGTTATTCGTAACAACTAACCACTTAATCTCAGGACCAGAAAGACCGTACATCTCCAGGAGCGGTGAGTTGTAGCGTACAATATGGTTGACATGTTTCAGGATTGACCTTGGAAATTATCTTCCTAAAAGATGTTTTTGATGATGTTGACGATCGATAATGGACCTGGAACTGCCCACACAGAAGGGAACATCTGCACAGTCTCTTTGCCCTGATCCAAAACAATCCCTGACCTAGAGTACAATAAATATAATCAAATAATTATGAATTTATAAGATGTTGAGCTGCCCCGGGGTGGGCCCCATGACCTTGCTGCCCTACAATGACCAGGTCCTGAGGCGCCCGGAATGTTCTAGATTTCTCTCATCCTCCTGGGTCCTTCTTGCCTCTCGTATTTTCATTCATTGATTGATTAGTTCAATTCTAATATAAAGTCTGTTGAACTATTCATATGGAATTTAAAACAATTTTAGGTTTTATTTATTTATTAGTAATTAGGTTTAAACTATTTTATATGTAAATTTGACTATAGATTAACCATTTTTTCACTTTCAATTGTTAACTTTTTATAAATCCTACAGGTATGACTAATGTCGAAAATAAACGCATCATGACTAATGATCTATGACTAACATCACAATTTATTACTTTATTTAGATAATGTTATCTGTCCAGTCATTCTATAAATGCAAAAATTAAAAACAAAATAAATTTTAACAAAAAAGAAAAACTTGCGTGAATACTTACGTACTCGTTCACGTTACCATATGTTTTTAACTAAACATATGTTTTATTAAAGTAAATTAACATTATATTTCGGATTTCTTTTCTAATTTAAGACAGCAGAATCGCATTTTGTTGTACATGTTACACTATTGATTTTTCATAATGTTTTGATTCGGGGTTTGTTTTGAAATGGCGGCTGACCCTCCCTACAACTGCGCCTCAAACCCACCGATTCTAATCAATATTTTACAGCCGTGTCGGGCTTTTGTTTAATTAAACATGGTTCCTTCTATTGTTTTGTATATATTATACAAAGTATAACATGAAAGAAAACAAATCAATTAGATGGTGATTTAATTGGCATTTGCTTAGTTGGTATTTTTACATTAATAAATATACGGTTCTAATTGTTCAACAATAACATAAATACATATAAATATTTATCATACTGCCAAGTTTTACTCTTTTATGGTGGTTACAAATTCACTTCTGAAAATAAAAATAAAATAAAACTATTATTTCCACTTATAAAGAACTTTCATTCTGCTAATCAGCTGATTAATTGTTAACGTCTGTTAAGACTTAATTACTTAAACACAGGTTCTCATCTTTTCCTGTTCGAATTAGATTAATTCAAATTAATGAATCTATTAATATAATAAGTATAATTAAACCAAAATATAACTGTTTACTCTTTTCTTTATATGTGCTGATAAATTTCGCAGATTGTTAGAATTTTGTCGCTAACCTTAACAAAACTGTTCAGGTTAACTGACCTAGGTATGAACATACTGTCATTTATTGTTCGTTATTTTTTATTGAACTGTTATTCACAAATTATACTTACGTTCCATATTCTTTTCTATATATATATTTGTTCGTTATACGAATTCTTCTTAAGAGCACAATAAACCCGTCATACTTTATTATTAAAATAAATAGGCGACTTGCAGAAATTAAGAATATCTATATTTTTATCATTTGTTAACTGCTATTAAGAAGTAATAATAATATTTATTAATTGTAAATAATATTTCAAATCATCAGCTTTGACCTCGTTGCCGTTCCCTAAATTAGAATTGCTAGATATAACTTATTCTGTAACGTACGTCCTTATTGTACATTTAAATAATATAAATATGTTCCTACATAATATAATTCAATTAAAAACAAATGAATAATGTTTTTCATGAAAGTATTGAATAACAGTCAACATTGATGTGAATCGTTCACGAATTATTAGCTTGGATATTGACGAAAAACCTAAAGGTCTAAAATCATTTTGCAAAAAAGTATCGTAAAAATTAATTTTTCAGCTTTTTTATAAAACAGTATGAATTAGTTTAATAAATGTATGAACTAACGATGTTAATTTTTAAGCGAACGTTTTAGAATTTAATTTTCTTTCATTCTTTTATATACATTTTTCTTTTGTTAATGTCTTCTTTTTTTTTCTCGAATATTTGTATTTATTCTCCCTACAGATTATATGCTAAATTATTTCCTTTCGGTCAGTGAATAAATTGATCTGATTTTTTGAAAATATATTCGTACTTTAGTTACGTACATCATGGAGTGAAGCCGTCAATTATCATGTCTGGTGAAAATCTTACCATTTGTTTTTTACTTTTATTTATTTAATTTCACCTATTGGTAAGTACGATCTTGTATGGATGTTGACCCTGTACACATTACGACTATCGATTTGTAGATAACTTAAATTTTCAAATCCTACCTCTTTGTATTCTTAATATTCGATAATCTGAATATTCCTACCATAGTTGGTTGGGGGAGGAGGGAGGGGAATTAACAATTACACATTATTATTGTGTAATATTTATTTTATCTTACGTTTTGACCTAAGTTCTAGATTTAATGTAGATGAAAAATGGATTTAGCTTTCAGCCTGACACGTTTTTTTCCAATAATAATATTGCACATTTTTTTTTATTTAAAAGCTCATAAAATTGTTCTATAGAAGTCGGCGCTATAGATATCAAAATTATCTTTTAGACATCTCAATAGCTTTTCGAAATCTTTACCTAATGCCCCTCCAAAAATTTTCGGACAATGATAGTTTTTATGTTTTCGAATCAAACTAAACCAGACTTTGCATTAAATGTTTGTTTTCAGCTTTCAACCTGCTTTAGAAGTAAACGTAGCATGTTTACACTAATAGCGTTTAGAACAAAATTCTATTTCATGCGAATATTTCAGATTAATCACTGAAAAAAGAGGTGGCCTACAAATTTTTTAGGCCACTTAGGTCACTCCGAACTACCCAATATTTTTGTAGGCCACCTTTATACTCAATTTTGTAGTCAAATTATATTACGATTCAAGTGGAAGTATATGTCCGTTCATGAGTTTTTAGTACTTTAATTAAATAGACAAAGTTTGCCGATATCCAGATTGAAAACTCCAGAATTTCGAGAATTTTTATAAATAAAAGTTGTAGGTTACGATGAGATAAAGTCATTCACGAAGTTACTGATGGTTGTTAATAATTTGTTAAAAAGGGGTCTGGACATCGATATATAGGCAAACTCAATAAATCGATTCCTGTTACCAAGAGGAAAACATGAACAAATTTTCATGAATGTACAAATGTTGTTTAAATTATTAATAAGATTATTCAATTCAATAGTTCTATTTTTATTTACTTTCAATTAGTTTTAATGATTAATTAATAATGTCTTCAAAAATTTCACAAATACTTCCTTAAATAAAAAATATTTAATATTGGTGATGTCGATATTTTTGATTTAATATACTAATAAAGACCTATATCGATTATCGAACTTAATCGAAATCGCTACAACTTAAAAATGACTTGTTCTTTATCCCTTCCCATTCTAGAGGATTGCACGTGGTGGGGATAGACTTCTTTTTCTTTTCCCATTCGTGACTTATTTGCTTCAGTTCTCTTCTAGGTTTGGTGGCGTATATTTCGTGTTATAATTGGCGGCCTAGAAGTCGTTTTAGAAATTTTTATTATGAACAATAATTAAATAAATCAATAAAATAAAAAAATATGCCCTATGCTAAAGGAATTCTTTGTAAACGAAACCCGAAATGTAAGTCTTAAATTAGGAAAAAAAAAGTACGCGTTTTAGTTTAAATAATATTAATTGTTAGTATAGCATTTTTTTTAAAATAAAAAATCCTAAACCCAAGTCTTAATAATTATTTTGTTTATTACGTGTGCAGACAAACCTTTTGACAAAGAAAAATTTCATATAATCGTAAAAAAAAAACTTCGTAGATGTCATTTTTATTTTTTATTATAATGGATCTATGGCGAATTATTTCTCGTACAATTATTAAAACGGTTCATTCTTTTTTCGGTTTATTATTACACGATTCTATGATAATTTATTCAGGTTAACGGTGGTTATTGATAACCTTTATTTAAGGATAATAAATCATATATTACTAATAAAATATTATTTAAAAATTCACCAAATTCATTTGTGTACAATCTTTAATAATAACGATACAAAAGGAAATAAAGTATTTCAAGATAAAGGTATAAAACATAACGAGATAATACGTATTGACGGTCATCAAAAATTATATAAATTCGTTGATTTATTTGCAAAAAGTCATTAAATGACGTTTCATATTCTCAAATAATTAAGAATTTTCTCTTTGTGAAACAAGAAAATCGTGCATTATTGTATTTATATATCATGATATGATTAACTTAGGGTATTTTTTTATAGATAAATATGGTTGAAATTCACGGTAATTAGATGTTAATCTATATACAAAATTTCCTTATTGATTTTTAGCAATAAACGGACGAAATAATTCTTCGGACAATAAAAGCGTAAATACATAAAATTATTTTTTTTTATATGATGTACATTATGATAACGATCATCGTAAATTATCGGAAAAATGTTCTCTGTTATTGATTACTCGTTTTATTATTATTTTTTTTTTTTTGTTAGTATTGTCCTTTTGCCGTAATGAAACTATTTAAAATTTAAATTATTATTTATTTTCGTAATAATTCATTTATTTATTTTTTGGTGCGTTTAGGTTGAGTGCAGCTCAACTTTCCTGGTAAGCGGTTGCTAAGCTCAGCAGTCACCATTTCATTTGTGAGCCACGCCGGATTAATAGTAAGTATCGATTTGACAATCCGGCATGACTATCTTCGAAAGTCATCCATATCCTTCCCGAACGCTAAGTAACCTCGGAAATTGTCTTGTTCTTCCCCAGTCCCGTGCAAGATGCAGAGCGCCGTCGCCCCATCAACCAGTCACCTGTCCTGGCGAGAGAGGAACGCAACTAGAAGGAGCAGCAGCCGTCCTCGCTCCCGATCTGATGGAAGTGGTAGAAGAGAGGACCTCAGTCGCATCCAGGATGGATGGTTGGACGGAATGCTTCCAGGACCTTCGTTCCTGGTGTCATATGGATCAGGATGAATTAAATACACCCCAGATAACAAGTGAGTTACACTAATTATATTTCATTAAGCATAATAATATCTTAGCTTAAACTTGAATGAAATCTTCATATTATCAAGTCCTACAAATATTAGACTTTAACTCTATAAACATTCACTTATCTTCATTAATTAGTACATCATATTTAAAAGATAGGAAAACTTTTCTGTTCCATTTATTTTGTTCAACAAATAATTGAAACCTTCAATTATTTTAAAAACGAAAGTTAAAAATTATTTTAATATCATAGTACAATTTCATTTAACTTTACTGATTGTTTTTGAAAATATATTACTTTCAATAAAAGCTTTAAACTTCAAATATCATTATTAAGTGAATCCACACTTGTACAATAACTTAAAAACATTTAATTAGTATGAGATGAACAATTTTTTCTTTTTTTTTTAAAACTTAGTTTAGACTTTTTTATATCCTTCATCACTTTTTATCATAGAGTAAAAGTTTTACTTAGGTTCCATATTAGTTCCTGAACGAAACATTCAATTTACTTGTCTTTTTCTCTAGATAACAAGTGGATTGCTTAAGTAGTATATTATTAAACGTTATATAAATTATAAGCTTGAAATATGTTAGCTAAAACTTGAATAAAATCTTCATATTATCAAGTCCTACAAATATTAGACTTTAACTCTAAACAGTCATTTATCTTCATTAATTAATACATCATATTTAAAGTCTAGGAAAACTTTTCTGCTCTATTTATTTTGTTTTAAAAAAATTATTAAAATCTTTAATTTTATTGATCAATGTTAAAAATTGTTTTAATATTACAGTACAATTTCATTTAACTTTACTGATTGTTTTTGAAAATATATTACTTTCAATAAAAGCTTTAAACTTCAAACATCATTATTAAGTGAATCCACACTTGTACAATAACTTAAAAACATTTAATTAGCATGAAGAAAAACAATTTTTCTTTGTTTTTTTTTTTAAACTTAGTTTAGACTTTTTTGTATCCTTAACTCACTTTTTCTCATAGAGTAAAAGTTTGACTTAGGTTCCATATTAGTCCTGAACGAAACATTCAATTTACTTGACTTAATATTATTTTCCCAGATAACAAGTAATATAAATTATAAGCTTGAAATATCTAAGCTAACACTTACAGGAAAACTTCATAATATCAAGTCTTACAGATAGAAGACTTTAACTCAAGTACTTAATCTTCACTTCAAGACTTAAACAGCTTTTCTGCTAATCTTATTTTGTTAGTAAAATAATTCCTTTTTAAAAAACCTTAGTTTTTTCTTGATGAATTCTGAATACTATTTTTCTTTCTACAAATTCAATAAACAAGTTGGGATATAAGGAAAAACTACATTCATTTAAACATCGATTTTGTAAGAACTCTCTTCGCACTTAATGACTCTGCCCTTTCTTAGAAACAGTTGGGTGTTTGTTCCTGAACGAAACGTTCAATTTTCGCTGATAACCAATGTGTCACTTTGATTATCAGTAATTATTAAACATGATATAAATTATAAACTTGAAATATTTTAGAACGTATAAGCTTCATAATACTAACTGTTAATGTAAACTGTAATGATAGTTCCTGAGGGTGTTTCAATTATAGAATTAATTTGGAGAAAACTACTTTCAGATAAAGATTAAAGCTTAAAACATACATTACTAAATGGATCCACACTTATCCAATAACTTAAAAATTTAAATATCTACGTTAAAGATAATCGTTTTTTAAAGGACTTAGTTCACACTTTCAAATATCCCTAATCACTTCTCAGATCTATTAGAGTTTGTCTTATGGTTGATATTTGTTCCTGAACGACACATTCAATTTTTATTTTATTAATATTTTCCCAAACAAGTGTTTTACATTTACTGTTAAACATTGTAGATTTTACATGTAAAATGTCTTAATTAAAACATCGGAAAGCTATATATTATCAAATCCTAAAAATACAAGACTTTAATTCATTTATCTTCTAATGAGATTATCATATTTAATAAACTCTAGGACAGTTTTTCGACTCTGTTGTGAAAATTGTTTTTGTATTTGAATTCAATTTTAGTAAACACTGCTGATTGTTTTTCTTAAAGGTATTTTCTATTCTTCTCTTAGAGGTAAATGTTGGTAAAAACTTAAAATTAAAACTTGGTGTGTACATTAATAATTGGTCATACGCGTGTATAATAACTTAAAAAACACTAAATTTGTAAGAAGAAAAACATTTTTTTTTAATATACCATTTTAAACTTTAATACTTTGAATAAAAGTTTGACTTAGATTAGATGTATGTTCCTAAACAAAATATTAAATTTACATCTGTTTTTATTTTCCCTGATAGCAAGTTAGTTACTTAAATTATATATTATTATTAATGTTTGATTCCGTTTTTCAATTAATTTTTCACTTTGTATTATTTTATAATGAAGTTGATTTAGTATTCCAACCATATCATTTTTCTTATCACGTCTGTTGGCGTTGAGTTGGCAAACCTGCTTTGATAAGATTTTTTTCTCCTACTAGCGCTTTAGTCATTTTTTATTTTTATTTTGAGATAATTTTTTATAATAGTTTAAATAGATTACATCTGTAAACAGTTATTTAAAATTAATAATGTTACTATTTCATATTTCTAAAATCTAGAAATACTCACAAGTAAATACATTTCCTTGAATATTATTCCAGTGAGATTATAATTTCCTTTGAAAGAGCCTTTGGGATTAACAGCTTCCTCTGTTCTTGGTAGTTTAGTCTCAACAAAAAGGTTTTAGGCCACATCAAGGAAAATATTTCAATTATGTCTACTCCATTTAGTCCATATTTATTTATTCTTCATATCTAAATATTGGTTATAAACTATTTAACAAACTTTCTCTTAAAAGGCATTTTATTTAAAACATTGGAAAAAAATAATAATTTTAGTGTCCTGAGACTTTCTGAAAACTAATTTATTTTTTAAAGTTTGAATCAATATCTTATCTATTTTATCCTCATTTATATTAAACATTATTTTTATCTTTATCTCTCATCTAAACTTTACAATAATCTTAAAAGTTTCTCATTCCCACATATAACTTTCTATTTGATTATTTTGTCATCAAAAATAATAAATTGAGTTCTATTTTTGGAAAGTATACAGGCAATTAAGAGGCAAATTAAGTATTAACTTTTTATTATTCGTTCTATTTTTTTATAATTATTAATCCAACAAACATTATACATTTTAACATGTTCTTTTGAACAAATTATTAATAATAAAAATAGTATTTTAATTTATTCGGGATATTGTCAGTGTGTTGCGAAAAGTCATTAAGTAATACTTTATTAAATTAAATCACTAAGTAATTTTTAAAATATTTTTGTCAATTAATTGGTTTTTGTAATTTTGATACTCTTGATGAGTTTTTACATTAATAAGTAACATTGATATTCTCTTACGCAAACTTGAAAGTTAAGCTTCATTAACAAAGTACTTAGTGGTTTTTGCAATAAACTGATGATATCTATAAAAATGTGATTTTAAATTAGTGTTTTTTCCTTTTCTATTGTATATTATAGCTCATGTTCAATATACAACTGACTTGATTTTAAGTGAATTTTTTTCTGAACCAATTGTAATCTTAAAAAGTTTAACAACCCTTTATATTTTTTAAAGTAAATTTTGCCTCTCGCTGCATTATAAATTGTTTTCAGTGTTAAAATTTATCCTTTAATCTCTTTTAATAGAATATATTAGCATCTTAATGAAAAGTAAAGCAAAAGCCCTCACACAAATCGTTCCATTTCGGGTCAATAAACTTGACCAAATCACATGGATAGATATATATCTTTATATCATGTTGAAAAGTAATTGTACATATTGATATGTATATGTATATAATCTATATGTATATGTTTATTAAAACATATACATATTGATTTTTTCAAACGGTTGAGTTTCGAGTAATAATAAGGATAAATACTAATTTAGTTATATTAATTTTTTCTTTTTTTTAATGCTGTTTTTTTTTTTTTTAACGCTGATTCATTTTTGTTTACTGAAATTTCATAATTTAGTTTCAGGTACGACTTAACTGGTTATAGTTAGACTTAAAAGGACCTTATAACCAATATTTTTTAAAGTAAAAAAAATATATGTATTGAATTTTTCTATTAATTCAGTAAGATTCGTAAATCAGCCTCACGAGTGGCTGCTTTTATATTCAAAAGGTAAGAAGCGTGTTCTATGAAATTTTTTAAATGCTGCCTTATAAGAGAAATATTGTTATATAAATTAATTATTGTTACTATAATAGTCCAATAATTGAAAAAGGTATTGTTTGCGATAGTTTTTATTTGCTAGAATTAATTAATCAGTTCTTGATGTAAATTATTTTTAATTTGATATCATTTGTTTCTTATATAGATCTGTTTTGATTGTCTGCTTGCTCAGTAGGATTTTCACTAGTGAATAACTGTTTAAATTTACAGTATTTATAGAAGAAAATATTTTTCTTTGTATTTTGAACATTAGTGTGGAATCATTTTTTCTATATTAGTTTCTTACAGATGTTTAAATTTACTGCCTAAGAAAAAAATTTTAAAATTGTTACCTTTAACCTTTATTTTACCCTAAGTAAATAATTAATGCTATTAGAAAATATAATATTTGGTTTTTATTAACGTTGAAAATAATAAGTAATAAATAAGTAAATATTAATAATAGTTCTCTTCAATTAAAGTAATTATGGTAGTACATTAATTGTTCAAGATAGTTCCGAACATTTATCATGGTACTAATATTAAATCATTTTTCTTGTTTACTATAAAAATATAATAGTGATTAGTTCTGAGTTCAAAATTTTCAATGCATTATTTCGTTGTTTTTAACAAAAGGAAACATTGTTCTTTATTCAGTTTATTGTTTAATATTTACTTTATTTAAGTAGTAATCAATTAATTCTTTATTTCAGTTAGTTTGGAATAATTCTTAAGCAGATTTTGTAATTTTATTGCTGATGTAATAATTGTTAAAGAAGTTTTAGTTGTAAGTATATTGATTCTAAAAATTTTAAATCTTGTGTGCGGGCGCCTATGTCTTTCAATATTTTCAAACTTTAAAAGAGTATGGGAAGAATGATTAAAGCTTCATACCAATTTTTAAATATTTATTCGCTTAATTTTTTGGATAAGTCATAAATTTTCTAAAGCATTTAACTACAAAACATATAAATTTCATCGCAAACAATTAGTATTTTCCACCTTATTTGTATCATAATATAAATATATTACACTAGTATGTTACCTGTTTTTTATTCCTTTATATTTTTCTTTTATTTGGTAGGAATGTATGTTGTTTATTATATTTTATATTAAACTTTTTCGTCCTTAAAACTTACATCAAACATTAGTTGCGATAAATATTTTAATAACAATGCATTAATAGTTGTTAATTTACATTATTCATATCACACGAAGATCACATTATTGTCTTTAATTTATTTTTATATTAAAAACCTATTATATCCATAATAATTGCAGGGAAAAATGTATTGAATTAATATTTTTTTACATCTTGACAGGTGTTTATTAAAAGACAAATTTAACTTACAGTTAAAACATTAATACAAAATATAATAAACAATATGATATATCAATTGTTCATATAATATATATATGTATACTACTACTAATGGACCTTCTCCAAATTAATTTTTTAATTTAATTTATAAATTGAAACATATTAAAAGATTTCTTCTGTTCATTTTTCCTTATTTTGGTGTCTTGAAGTTTTATATTTTTTACAATAAATTAGGCCAATTACCACCAACATTTTATTGATAAGTTATTAAGTACGACGTTTCGACCATACTAAGGGTCATTTTCAAATCTTGATGAGTCCTCCGTTATATGTTCATCATTTCATCATGTTCATCTTAGTATGGTCGAAACATCAAATTAATGCGTATCAATAAAATGTTGGTGGTAATTGGCCTAATTTATTGTAAAAAATATGAAACATATTTACAGAATTTTTTTTATTATAAACTAATCTTTTTTTTCTTTTTTTTTTAACAGTGCAAGATGAATTCAATTTTAGTCTTGACGGTCAAGTGAACAGTGGAAGTTGGGGATTGGCAAATCCGCTAGTAGAAATAAACGACTCGTGGGTAAATCAAGAACTGCCTTTAACGTCACCGAACAACTTTATTACAGATGAAGAAAATAACAACTTTGAATTTCAGAGCAATTTTTCAACAGCCTGCGTGAAGGGAGATAGTTTAATTAATCAAGAGATGCAGTCGAAATCTGCTGTTGCAAATACTAGCGTCGCTAGCAATAATAACAACAACATCCTTAAGACAAAAGGGAACGTCCTCCTGTCACAGGTGAGCATCCTGCCGGAGGACGCTCCTGTTGTCCTAGTAGACAGTGGGAATAAATATAATATGGATTACGCCAAATTGAATTCATCTACATCCGCCCGATTGGGGAGCGGCGGGAGGCTCGTCAAGGAAGAGGCGTACCCGGTGGCCCAGGTCCAGACCGCCGGTACGCGCCCGAAGCTCAAGCTCAGGATTCCTCAGCCTCCGCATCAGCATCAAGCGCCGGGACAAGCCCAAGCCCTAGCTCAAACCCAAGGCCAAGTCGGTTGTGGTGGGCTCCCCACTCCGGAGGTTCTCAAGCCTCTCCTCACTGACCTGACCTCGAGTGACTTTGACCTTCTCAACTATGTCTGTGGGGTAAGTAAGAACACTATTATCACTACATTATATAGTCTAAGCTGGGGATGTAAATTTAGACTAAATATGCTTATATATTGTAACATTTCTCTTATATTTTACAAATAATAATAATATAATCTCGTGGAAGCTCACTTTATACCGTTGGGATACTTCCTCAATAAATAAGAAGTTGTTAAATAATAAACAAAATTAAAAGAGTATAAATATATTAAATTGAAATTTATATTTATTTTATCTCAAGGTATTACTGACAATCAGGTTAAAACACTCAGACAAGCTAATATTTATTTTTTCATATTTTAGGCAATAAAACTTCCAATTTTCTTCATATTTTTTTGTTTATGTTTGTTGTCTCTTACGTTTCGGGACAATTTTCCCATCATCATAGTAATATTTTTATTTTTACTTTCTTTTTTTGATGTGGCACCATTTGTCAAAAATTAAATATTTGTCACATTTTTTGAAAATTATTTTTGGTGTTACATATATTCATCGATACACTAATCAACTGATGATGGGAAAATTGTCCTAAAATGTAAGAGACAACAAACATAAATAAAAAAAATATGAAGAAAACTGGAAGTTTTATTGCCTAAAATATGAAAAAAATTATAAACCTAAGCTTCCTAATAAAAAAAGAAAAATAAGAAGATAGCTAATATTTATTTGATAAATTAATCAAACTAATATTTTTGAGGAATTGTGTTTTAAAATAACTCCAATGAGATTTTCTTTGCCATTTTTTTTTTTTTATATACTCTATACATTTAGTGGAAATTAAATATAATGACTTTTCAGAAGATTAGTTTGTAGTAATTTCATCACATGTTAATTGGAAATTCTTCATTCATGGTATTATTTCTATATTAAATGTCTTACAAAAAATATTAACTACTAGGTATATTAGAATATTTTTTTCCAGTGATTTATTCTACTCAATTACATCATTACGTTTCGGGATCCACTTATATCCCATCTTCAGACAGTATCCCGCATCATCTTAATTCTCCATGAAACATGTCCTATTAATTAAATTGGTTTATTTTTTGTCCTATTGCTGGAAATCTTATTTTATTCTCCTCTAGGGAGAGTCTACTTCAGTATCTGACTTGACTCTCCCTAGAGGAGACTAAAATAAGATTTCCAGCAATAGGACAAAAATAAAACAATTTAATTAACATGACAAGTCTTATGGAGAATTAAGATGATGCGGGATACTGTCTGAAGATGGGATATAAGTGGATCCCGAAACGTTATAATGTAATTAAGTAGAAGAAATAGGAGAATAAATCACTGGAAAAAAAATATATTCTTATATATATAGAAAATAGTTATCTCTGTTTGGATAAATAAAGAAAATATTAACTACTTTTCAAAAAATTATTTTATTAAATTAATGTAATCATGTTCTTTCTGTAAAATAATTATAACTCATTTAATTTTTTTTTTTATAGGATTCTGTAAATATACTGAACAGGACAACAGTTGTAGTCCCGAAGAAAGAAGAGGAGGTGGAAGTTACTACGATACCTGACCATGATTACGCCGATGGGAGAAACTCAGTCGCTGACGATGACGTTTACATTAAATGTGAACCAGTTTCTCCATCCTCATTGGAACTTATCAATAACAGATCTAGCTCTTACAACACGACGATGGATCTTGATGAAGAGATAATAGACTCTTTTGACGAAGATGATGAAGAGGAAGGAAGTGAAGAATGGTTTCCTTCGTCAGATCGAGGCAAGAAGATTGGCGGCCCTGGCCGAAGGAGAGGTAGGAAGACTTCCTCATTAGATTCTTCAGACGGCGGTGGTGGAAATATCCATGACAAGTATAGAGCATTACGTGATAGGAACAACGAGGCCTCCAGAAGGTCTCGAATGAACAGGAAACAGCGGGATCTCGAGATGCGAAGGCATAAATCCGATCTTGAGAAAAAGAATGTCGAACTGAAGGTTAAGGCTGATAGGATGGAATCCCTCGTCAAAGACATGAGAGCTATTCTTTTGAGGACAGTGCGTAACAGGCATCAGTCTTAGTTTCAACCTGTTCCTTCTAAACACTAATCTCCACTTTTATTAACTTATATTATTTATTATAATTGTCAAAGTTATCGATTGATATAGAAATATATTTATGCATATGTATACCTATGTTTAATATTTATTGTGGTATATATATTGGCATTGTTGTATTGCATGAACTGTGATTATATTACCTACTATAATGTAGATAGAGACACTTTGATGTTTGACTTGTACTATCCATGTACCTTTAATGTTTACTTATATAATATTGAATATTTAGACTAGAAGCTACATTTTATTGCTTTGTGTATTGTATTTAAACAAATCATGTACACTTCTCTAATGTTTTACCTGTTATGATAATGTTCATGTAGTATATAGTCCTTTCATTTGTACTTTGTTATATTTGTGTCTTGTAGAAAGTAGAAATATATTAGTTTGTAGCAATTAGTATTTATTTCTACTTCCAATTTCATCTGTCAATATACAAAATTTTTATATTTATTTGTAAATTATAAGAAAACATGCAAGGAAAAAAAAAAATCTTTTATGTAATGATTATAAAAGAAAAGACAAGAAAAAAATACAATAAAAATAAACAATGCATAAAAACTATTTTTAAAAAATTCTATTTAGAATGATGAATTAATTCATCATTTTTTGTTCTGATAAATGATAAAACATCACAGCCTTATTTTTGAACTTTCCAACTGTAATAACAAATAAATGTTCAACTTTATTTTTTATGAAGTAAATGTTCATTTTTTATAGTAATACAAGAAGTATTATGAAAGCATAAAACAAAATTAGTGTATTATCATTTTAAAATTTAATATAAATTAGTTCTGGCGCTACAACACAGAGGGTCAAGTCTTTCTTTAGCATCATACTCCAGTCATCTTGTCCTTAGCAGATTATTGCAGTTGTGGTATTATAATTGATCTTTGGAATAGCTGTTCTATGATTTGCTTTGTTGGAATTAAGCTATAAGGCTTCCTAGCCATATGGCTTGCTCAGTGGAGTCCACCAACCTTAATAATTCTAATCACGCTATTATCCTGTTTTTATACTCATAAAAATGTTTAAATTAATTGATGAACAATTGTATCTAGTACTGGACAAAATTGTTTATCATGAGTATCAGTTGCAACAGTTTCTGTTACTTTCTTTCAATAAGCAAATATAACTGTTTCAAAACTGAGTAAATAAAAAGTGTCTTTTGTTACCTTCGCACTATTTTATAAAGATAAATATAATTTATCAATATAGCAAAATAAAGTAGGTAGAATAAACTTAAAGTAATTTCAAAATAATGGTAACAAAGTTAAGGATAGAAAATAGTAGAAGGAAAGTTAGAATATATAACATAACGGTAACAGAGTTAGGAAATATGAATAAAAAAAAATATAGTGACAGAGAACTATTAAATAAATAATAACGGCAACAAAGTGGGGACTAATGAAATAAAAATAATCAAAATAAGGTAACATAAGAAATAAAAAATGAATTAACATTGAAATGTAATGGAATGTATCAGATAAAAAAAAAGTAAATGCAGACAAAAAAAATGGTTGTTAAAATTGGTAAAGTTGCTGAAATATGATGTAATAGTATGCTAAAAGAAAGTGAGATAATCATAAAATAAAGTGTAAAATTTTTATTTATTTTTTTTGACTGATCGCCCCAACCATTGTTTACCTCAATTATTCTCTACAATCAACCATCAATCCACAATTACAGTTCTTTAAATACTAATTTCACATTTCAGAATATTAGATGTATTTTCATTTGTAATACATATTATTACAATTTTTTTCATCAAACTTTGGATTTTGCTTTATTTTCCTTCCCTTCTAAATGTTAATGTGTGTTGAAGACCACTCAACAAGGGTTGAGCATAGATCATTTATAGAAACAAAAGAAATCTACTGAGAGGAGGGGATGGGAGAGGGGAGCTAAGCCCATCTCTAATCTACTGATGCAACTAAATTATTGTTTATTAATGTGAATACACAAAAATTTCTATTGAATAATGTACCAAAACTAGCAGAAATTCGATGCTGACTGTTTGACAGTATACAAGAGACTTTCATGAGAACTCCACAATGATAAAAAAAGGTTACTTTTATCACGGGCCAGAGATTTTTTTTTTTTTTTTTTTATACATAACAATAATTACTTTGAAAGAAAAAGAAACAAACTAACTACCTATTTGAAATGGTTTTAAGTGGTTCTTGAAGTCCTATTAAATGTAAGTACAGGAACAATAACACTTTTAGAAATAATTTCTTAATATTTTATTCATAAGACATAGTTATATAGGAATATTCCCATTTGGGAGGGGGGGGGGGGGCTTCAGACTGAAAGTCCTCTCCATCCCCTCCTCTCTGTAGATCCGCCTTTGCTTTCCATCGAAACACCTTGAAGTAAAAATTTGCAAACGACAAAAATAATAAGCATAAGATAATAAACTCAGATGTTTTTGTATAAAATGGAAGGTTATGTAGTAACGGTTATATTGTGAATCGTTTTTTTTTCTTTTTCACTATAAATTATGATAAAAAGTATAAATTTCATACTTACAAATGCAATAAAATATAATATTGTTTTTAAAAAAATACATAGAATATGAAGGAAGAATTAAAAACAAAATATTGTTATAAAAAGTTAGTAAATGAAGGTATACATTTATAAGTATAATAAATTAAATACTACAATAAATAAAAATGAGAGACTTAAAAAAATATAATATTTTAAAGCAGTTCAGTCAGTTAAGAAATAAAAATGAACCTTTTTGCTCTCAGAGATTTTCATACAACTTATTAAAGTGTACTTACATTAAATGGTTTGTATTTGCTTATTTATTTTTGTATTGTCGTTGGAGATGGTTTATATGTTTATAATTATTTCTTGAAGATGTATCTACCAATTTAACAAATTCAATGCTCAATAACAATGTTAAATAAAGAATGAGTAAGGGTAAAAGTGTATTGTTTAAAGTGAGAAAAATAAAAAATATATAGACTGGAAGAAATAGTTGAAAAATATTCCAGGCCATTATATGCATGAATCATCCATTAATAGAATTACTATAATCGGATAGAGAGGAAGGGAGGCAAAGCCAACAGAAAATAACAAAAAGCAGTTAGGGTAAAATTGATAACATAATCTTTCTCATATAGTGTAGCCAGCAAAAATTATCATACACATATTGGTTGAAAATAAAAAGCTCAATAAAAACATTTCTGTACTACATATTTTTCCATTCAAACATCTAAGTATAACTTAAATACCATTTTTAATTAATTTCATCAAAAATATTTGCCTAACAAAGATTATATATATTTTAAATTAAATTTTAAGTACAAAATAAGTATTTTGATGCAGCAAAAGTTTCCATACAAATGACTTAATTATTATACAATAAATTATTTATTTATTCTAGTCAAAAGTTTTAAATGAATGTCTTGGTTGAAGTCTCTTGTATTTCAGTACCATTTTATGTCATTTATGGCCAACTTCGAAGTCTATTGGGAGGCAATCCCCCCATTCTTCCAACAATTTGGTTTCAAGATATTTTATTGACATCATATTTTCATTTATGAACAAAGGATTTACACAAATCCATAAATGTTCAATAGGATTTAAATCTAGACTTTGGAGAGGAGTTTCTCATTCATTTGGATAATTATATAGCGGCCATTGTTGTGTGTGAAGAGCTTGGGACTAAGGTTCTTTTCTTGGTAAAATTTGAATGTTTGTTCCATACCCACTTATGCCATTATTAGCTCTTAAATTTCCTTTTCATTTTTTTTTAATTTATACTTTCTATTTATTCCATTAATAAAAACCAAATTCCTGACTTCATATACAGACATACTCACCCTCACAAAACACCAGCGCCTGCACCTTTCATTGTTGACAAATTCTTTTCCTCTAATCCCATTCCAGATTTCCTCCGCACTATCAATATTAAATTTTTTCTTGTCTGAATATATTACATCACTCAAGTAACATTTTAGTTTTCTCATAAAATCTTTGGTAAAAACAACCGATTTTTCATATTCATTAAATATATGAGAGGTCATTTTCAATTCGATCTGACTTTAAATCCTTATTGTTTTAATAATGCTCAAATTGTATCAGGTCCAGTTTTTTTCAGATTCTCTTAATTTATTTATGGCAAAAATGGGTTTAGAACAAACATTCAAATTTTTCCAGACTGATATTCCCAAGCTCTAATCTATCCATACACAAGAATGGTTGTTATAATATAATTATCCAAATGAACAGAAAACTCCTCTTCATAATCCAGGTTCAAATCTCATCGAAGATTTATGGTTCCATGTTGATCATCATGTTCATAAATGAAAATCTACATCAATAAAATCTTGAAACTAAATTTTTGTTATAATGTGAGAATTTCCCTCCCAATTGACTTCAAAGTTGACCTCAAAAGGCTTAAAATGGTACTGAAATTCAAAATACTTCATTCGAAATCTTAATTTAAACTTTTGACTGAAATAAATCCAAAATTATTATTATTATTATTAATTTACTCTACAGTCCTTAATGGAACAACAGAAACAGCCTTCCACCAGGCTTCCTTATCGGCAGCTATTCTTCTCCATCTTCTGATACCTATGTGGCTGAGGTCCTCCTCCATGTCGTTAATCCACCGCAGCGAGGGTCTTCCCCTAAGACGTGCTTCTCCTGGGCAGTTATAGAAAAGTTTCCTAGGCGACCTATTCTCCTCCATTCTCTCTACATGGCCTAGCCATCTGAGCCGGCTCCTTATGACAGTGGCTACAATATTGTCATTTTTATACAGCTCATAAAGCTCGTCAATTTTCCATATTCGCCACTGGTCATTTATTTTCTTCGGATCGTATATTTTCCTTAGGACGTTTCTCTCTCAGATTGTCAGCAACCTCTCATTTTCCTGTGTTAAAACCTATGTTTCACACCGTAGGTAACGGCTGGCCTTATAATGGTTATTCATGTTATATAATATTAAAATGTTTGAAAATTTGTTCTGCCTTAAAATTGGTATTTTATACTTAAGATGTATTTTAAAATATATACACTTATTGTTAGCTAAGTATTTTTGATAAAATTAATAAAAGTGAAATTGAAGTTATACTTAGACTTTTAAATTAAACGAAAATGTGTACAGAATTGTTTTAATGATTTTTTTAATTTTCAACCAATGTGTGTATAAAAACTTTTGCTGGCCAATGTACATGACTGACAAGGAATCATGATTATTACAGCTATTATTGTTATCTACATGATCATTCTCTATCAGATCTTTATCTATTAAATCACATTTCATTAGAAGAATAGAGTGCTAAGGACTGGAATGTGGTAGTGTTGTAAAACCTGAAATAAATACCATTTAGTTATTGCAAAAAAAAAAATTGTCAGAAAAGCTATACTTTTAAAGA